CCCCCCTTCTCTCTCTCTCTCTCTCTCTCTCTCTCACTTCAATTGTGTTTGAGGCATTTTGACTACAATTTGTTCGCATCCTTATTCCATCACATCCATTGGGTGACCATTTGACAACACAAGAAGTCATGTTCTTTCAATGTTCCAGATGCACCAAAATCATCAATTCGACAAATGTATGACATTTAAGAAATTTTGATAGTGATTCAGGCAATCAATATATAATATACATAATGTCTCGATCATCATTCACCATTTTTTACCATGATATATAGAATTGACTAAGGGGATGCTTTCCTTAAAAATTATGATGCACTACGCACATCGGCGTTCTACGAACAGGAAAAGTTTCAACTAATTTCGATTGTAATTGATAAAACTCGAACTCGACTTATATGATGCTACATCCATTGTTCATTTTCAATGTCGTGTTTGATTTTTTAGAGTTATGGAACATGTATAGAGGCCAACATTTAAAAAAAAAAAATGAGGTTCCATAACTTGGCTAGCTAGCCCACTAACCATCAAATGATGAACAATTTACAAAAGAAAAAAAAGAAATTTGCCAAACTTGACAAAATTGTATACTTTCCAGAAGGCCCGAGGTTCAAACTATAACAACTTATGAATGAAATATTCAAGTAAATAACAGGAAATCATTATGGTACCTCAGTTGCTTCTTCCATATGAAGGCGCCACAGGCCAAGCAAATGACAAAGGGCTTCACAAGGAAGTTCCCTAACCAATGAGAAAGTCCACAACGTTAAAATATAAACAGCAAGAAAAATCAAAAGTAGCAACATGTGGTTACTGTTTCATACTTCTTCACATGCATATTAACAAAGTAAGAAGAGATTTTAGATTAGAGTAAATATATATAAATTAAAGCATGCATATCACAAGAACATAAATACCAATAACACACCCATATTTTATCTAATACCGTTGTAAACTCAAAAAAGTATAACCAAAATTACAACTATTAAACAACATTTTAAATTATGAAACATTATTATTTCTCTCAAATTCTTCAGCACAAAATCTAGCCTTCCAAACAGATATTCAACTGGTTTAACCTACAGTAGACAACTTAAACACGTCTCATGCCTTACCCAAGATTAACAAGGCAACAAAATGGTTGTTTAATAAGGCAACGATCCTGGTGATACTGTAACGTAGGCTTTCATAAGTGGTTTGCTTATGCATTCATGTTAGCAAGGTAGCCAAATTAGAAAACAAAATGTAACGTTGCATAAAAGGATAAATTGCATAGCAAAATGTCAACGTACAAACCATCATTAAGAGCTTGGAAACTATGATATTCACTATCAAATACAGTTCTTGTCCTTTAGCAATATACGAATATCAACTTTGAAGATTCACAGCCTGCTTTTATTATATTTGAGTAGTCTCATGTTAAATATATTAGATAAAGCACCAGGTTTTAAATATTCTTTGGGTTCGTTGTTTTAAAGAAACCTTTTAAACCTATGCCTCAAAAAACATTTCACTATATGATGATGGTTAAGATATTTAAAAGCTATATTTTTCTCCCACATTGGAAACCCACTCCTCGGGTAATCAAGGAATGGGTTTTGAATTTTAGGATTTCAAAACCTACCAAGGCATGCATTTTGAATTGCTTAAAAAAACCTTTTCTTTATATTTTTTATTAGAAAACCTAATTTTAGGCTGCTACAATAAATTCCTACATTCAATCCTAATGCTTCATTTAAAGCCAAGTTTTTTTTCTTATTTTTTAAAGCCTAGATTTAATAAAAGACTAAAACCACTAATTTTATTTTACTAGAGGCTTAATCCCCTCTCTCTCTCTCTCTTGGCATCTCCCCTCTTGAATCCCGATAATCTCTGACAATCTATTGTCTTCCCCTCCTCACTCCCCCACTCCTCTGTTTCAATCTCTCCCCAAATCCGGCCCATCTTCCACTCCCAATCTCCTACCTAGCAATCTCTTATCCCTCTCACTCTCTTCTCACTTACAATCCTTATTGATTTCTCTCTCCCTCTCCAATCTTTAAAGCAAGAAGAGCCATTGATCTAAAACTCCAAGCACCCTCAAACATTCCCAAAGTCTAGATTTTAAAGCAGGAAAAACAATAAGCGAAAGTAAATGACATTCACTCATTTTGGGCCCATTTGGGACAGCTTATTTGGTGTGGTGGCGTTTTAAAAACGCACCAGGTCTGTTTGTGTAAATAGAGTTTTGGCAGCTTATGCATTTTCAAAGCGCTGAAAATAGCAATTTCACACCACACCTATCTAGGTACAGTGGCAGCTTTCTACATTTTCACACCGCACCTATCTAGATGCAGTGACAGCTTTCTGGCTGCAGTTTGGTTTTTCCAAAAAAAATAAAAATTTGTAATAGCCAATGCATCTAGCTTATCAGTAGATTATTTTTAATCAGCTTATCAGCAAATTATTCAACAAGCTGCACTGCCCAAAATAGACCCTTGATCAAAATTATCTAATAATTCAGAGATTTAAATGCACTAACCTTGAGGAGGAAAATTCCTAAAAGCTTAACATCTATATTTGTTGATCCTATATTAATGAAAGATAATATTAGTTCATTTCATAAAGTGAATTAATCAAATCATTACTTATTTCCTTCTAGACTGTTAGTTTGTTTAGTGATTTGCTCCTCCATAAAGCTTGCTTAATAGAATCTGCTTTGCCATAATATTTATAAGCATAGGAAATCAAGATTCAAATTTTTGTTAAGCTTTAAATTGAGCAAGGCTCTGATTCAAAATGAACCTGATTTGTTAAGATAGTTGATCGAATTTATTGATTTATTTTTCCCTATTACTAGGAGTTGCAATTTATGATGATTGGAATTATTTTAGGGAATAAAAATAGCTAAAAAAAAGTGTTGCATGTCCTTCAATAAATGATTATTTTATAAATTTTTCACAATTAACATAGAACATTTTTTGCATTCAACTCATCCTTTGTAAACTACAATAATAAAAGTTTGAGATAAGAGAAATGTTGCTTAGAATTATGGGACTACAGCTAAGTTAGATGCACGGCAGGAGCAGAAAGTCAACAAATATATCAAATGCAAATTTTATAGTAAGACCATCACAGATGTTAAAATACAAAAGAATCATTTAGCTTAAACTCATAAAAATGTGGGGCCATGTGAGAAAGTTCTAGTTGAAGATAAACAAGAGATACCAAACTATTTAAATGTCAATACACAAGTAGGCATCAACACAAACAAAGCATAGATGAAATAGTTGTGAATGAATTATATTCTAGTTTTTCAGATTCTAGGGCTATTCTTATTTGTAATCCCAATTGAGGTCCTACTAGCGGTAGTGCCTCTATTTTCAGCAAAGAAATTAGAGGACCTATGAATCAATTAATTGAAGATTTTGGTTCTAAAATTAATGATCAACATCAAAATATCTCGACAGTCTCCTCTAAAGAACATCAAAACCAAATATCTATGGATATTGGATATTTATTTAATGAAAATTATTTTCTTTTTAACGCTAGAAGGCCATCCTTCTTCAGTAAAGTATGCGCCATTAGGAACTATGATCGAGGATTGAAACCTCCAAACATGAATATTGTAGGAAGAAATGAGTACTAGTGACAAGATAATTCAACAAATAAAGAATATATAGGCACATATTGGATTTTCAATATATCAAATGGTTACAAGACATAAGAAGTCAAAGCTTGATCAGCATTTTAGTGAATAATCCTATTGGAATGATGTTTCTCAAATATGTTGACAAATCAATTCTAAAGAACATCAAAACCAAATATCTATGGATATTTGATATTTATTTTATGAAAATTATTTTCTTTTTAACACTAGAAGGCCATCCTTCTTCAGTAAAGTATGCGCTATTAGGAACTATGATCGAGGATTGAAACCTCCAAACATATGAATATTGTAGGAAGAAATGAGTACTAGTGACAAGATAATTCAACAAATAAAGAATATATAGGCACATATTGGATTTTCAATATATCAAATGGTTACAAGACATAAGAAGTCAAAGCTTGATCAGCATTTTAGTGAATAATCCTATTGGAATGATGTTTCTCAAGTTGACAAATCAAAGTTTGATAAGGTTTTACCATTATTATTCACAATGAATGATGATATCATTCTGGAAGATGGAGACATCTAGTTGTTCAAGTGATAACAAACAATGCAAGTGCATACAAGATAACAAAGAGGATGTAATGAAAAAACAAAATTTATATTTGCTCCTTGTTAAACCAACATATTGATTTGATGCAATAAAAGCTTGGAGACTTGTCACAACATATAAATACTTAAATTAAAAAAAGCAGGCAAATTTATCTACAACCATGATTAGATATTTGAGTCTAATGAGACGAATGACTAGCAACGATGTTCTGTCTAAATATCATAATATTTGTTATAACTTATTTGTATTTACAAAATATTATCGGATTAAGGAATTAATATGAGATAACAATTACTTCCCAAGAATAGAATGATAGTGTCAAAAGTTATGAGGGAAACAAGTGAAATTGTTATCTTAATACATAATCCTTTTGGCACTGTATAGCAGACGCTCTTAAAACCACAGTCTTTTGTTGAAGTGGTGATAATGGTTGACGGTGAAAAAAGCATACAATGGGTTTTATATATAATGCTACAGACAAGGATAACAAACATATAAAACAGAGCTTATGTGGAAAAAAAAAATCAACTTATATTTGGTTTGCAATTTACTAGAGATTTTCTAAATCCTCTATTTTATTTTAATGATAGCTTCTTTGAATACATAAAGGTTAATATTTATTTGTACAAATGTATAGAGAAGATATAAGCTCAGTAGAAAATTTTTTGAAATTTATCAGAGAACTTGAAGAATTCATCACAGAAAAAAGGAATATTTGATATAAGAGCCACCCAATTATCACACAAAACCCGATCAACTAGCAAGATGTCTAACAACTTTACTAAACTTATGATTAAGTTTGTTAAATAAGTTATTAATATTATTCTCATTTTATTTTTTTTCTAAATACTGATTTAGGCATTGATAGATGCACTTCGGAGAAGAAACACCAGAAATAAATGCATTTGCATTTAGATTCTTAAATTCTTCAGCTTAGAGCACATTCAACCAAGTGAATCAAAAAGAAGAAATCATTTGCTTGTAGTTATGATAAATAAATTGGTTTCTATGATGTAAAATAAGAAATAAAAGGATAGACATCCCATGTTAACTTCACGCAGAAAAGATGAGCATTTGAATATCAATACATTGCCGCTGAATGATAAATAAGTGGTTAAACTAGATGAGGATAAAAAATGATGAATGTACTGTTGAACTAGTAAATGTGCTGTTAATGTAACGAAAGTTGGTAAAAATTAGCAAAGATTTACCAAATGCAAACATGGTCAAACATCAAATAACCCAAAAGGTTGGCAAAGTAAATTCACAATAAAATGTGCAATAAATTTCAATTTAATTTTTCCTTTTTTTGAGTTATAATGTTGATAAAAAAGAAGATGAATGGGATGAATCACACGACTGGTGAGGAAGATGATAAAGCTATTAGATGCATGAAAATTCTTTAAACAATCTCAGTAATGATGATATTAAGAATGAAATTGATTTTATTTCATAAAATACTTCATTTAAATCTGATTCGACCATATATTACTAATTTTAATGTTTTGTGAACTCAAAACTTCTATTTGATATTGTTGAAGTTTGTATGCCTTCTTATAATAT